TAATTAATTGAATCATAATTTTTTTAAATAAAAATCTGATTTTTGAAATTTGAAACTTGTTTTCTTGTTTTTGAAATGTGCCAAACTTAATCTTTTATTGTGAAATTTTCCCATCTTGAAATCATATTATCGAGCATTCACTATTCTTTGATGTAATTCATCGATAACACGTATTTACATGATGTTATCGCAAGTTTATGAACGCGAAGTTGTGGCAGAGTTTTACTACTATTGATGGGGTTTTTACAAATCACGATTATTATATCTAGCTCATCCTTAATTGACATAAGACTAAGCCGAGCGATTGTTTAATGAAACTTGATGGTACAATCCAAAGAAGAGTTCCATGACAAGACATTGACTTTAAAACCCTATCTCCATATACTGATGCAAGAAGGATCTTTGTAGAGCAAGAGGTGAGGCTCAAAATATTCACATTTTTTAACAAGTTGAGTTCGAATATAAGTTATGTCTTTTAAATAAAATCAAATAATGTATACCTTGCAAAAGTTCCTTCAAAATCATTATGCGTAACCCTAACTTTCAACATACTTGAATAGTTGAATCACCTAATAAAAGCAATGTTGTGACAATTTTCACCAAAATCACGTCCCCCAACTATTGTAATAAATGGAGAAGAACTCAAGTTTATTCATTGATATAAAATGAACTTTACATCCTGATATAAATAGACAATTGACCAACAAACTTACTACAAACAAATACCATTTTGACAAGTGTAACTATTACTCCCTTTCAAGATGGACTGTAAGGATTGATAATGGCCATCTTGGACATCAAAGGAAATTAACGATTGGCGGGTAAAGGCTTAGTAAAGATGTCAGCAAGCTAATGTGGGTACAGATAGGGAACGGTTTGACAAAACCATCAGTAATTTTATCTCAAATGGAATGGCAATCTATTTCTACATGTTTGGTTCTTCTGTGAAATATAGGATTGGTGGCAATGTGTTTAAAGGCTTGATTATCACAAAATATTATAGCAGAAGCGGGAGATGAAATTTGAAAATCAAGAAGTAACTGATGAATTTAGATAAGCTCACTAGTTGTTGTAGCCAAAGCTCTATATTCGGCTTCAGCAGAAGATCTAGATATAATACTTTGTTTTTTTGTTTTCCAAGATACTGAGGGGTTACCAAGAAAAAAAGTACAAAATTCAGTAACTGATTTCCTTATGTCAAGGTAAGAGCCCCAATCAGCATCAGCAAAGGCTCGAAGTTGAAAGGAAGATTGAGCTAAAAATAGAAGGCCCTGCCCTGGAGTTGCTTTGAGATACTGTAGCAGATGATGGATAGCATTGAGATGAGGTTGCCTATGTTGAGAGACGAATTGAGTTAACCTGTGAACTGCAGAAGTAATGTTAGGTTTGGAAATAGTTTAGTATAGCAGACGACCAATTAGTCTCCTATATGAAGAAGCATCAGCGAACAATTTCCAAACCAATGAATGTTTTAATTGGACAATATCTTTAAGTTTCAACTGATTGTGTAAGGATGCTTTAAAGAGTTGATGGCCTGACAATTTGAACCAGTGATAATAACATCGTCCACATAAACCAATAAAGCCACAAACTTGTTACCAGAAACTTTGGTAAAAAAAGAATAATCTAACTTTAATTATTGATAACTGTGTGAAGGGAGAGCACTAGAGAACTTTGAAAACCACTATCTTAAGCTTGTTTGAGGCCATAAATGGATTTGTGCAGCTTGTAGATCAGTTTGTTCTCCCAGGTGCATCAACAGCCGCTTGCCATATCCCAAAGACAAGTCCTTATATATTTCCTCGAAAAGTCCCCATTTAGGAAAGCGTTGTTCACGTCTAGTTGAGTGATTTGCCGTTGATTGATGGTGGCAATTGCTAGGATAAATTTAACTATAACAAGCATGGCTACTGGTGAGAATGTTTCAGTGGAGTCCAATCCTTCCTATTGGGTATACCCCTTTGCCACTAAACGTACTTTGTATCTATCAATACTTCCATCAGATTCGTATTTAATTTTATAAATCCACTTGCAACCTATGGAGTGCTTTCCTTTAGGAAGATTGACCACTGATCAAGTATGATTTGATTCCATTGCCTCTAACTAAGCTGCCACAGCCTTTCTCCAGTAACTATACTTGACAACTTCGTGATAGTATAATGGTTTGAAATCAGATGATACATTCCACACATTACTACATTGTGTAGAAAAAAAGGCTTTATAGGATAGATATTTCTACAAAGGATAGTGAGTGGTAATGCTTGGCTGCGCAGAGGAATTTTTAGGAGATTGCAATAAAAATCTCGAATGTAACTTGATGATTTTATTGGTTCTCCTAGGAATGATTGTTTGATTCGATTCTAGTTGCAATGGAGCGTTGAATGTATTTTGAACATCATGAACTGAGTTATAAGATGAATAAATATCTTAAGTAGGATTGGGCAAAACGATGT